AATATACTAATGGCTAGGTAGATACGATACATATTGATTGAATATGGTAAAATAAAAATAAAAGAAATATTCAAGACATAGGCGTTTTTAATGTTTCTATCTAGTATGTACTATTTCAGAGGTATAAAATTACAACTCTTGTTATCATTTAAATAATGTGCTATTAGAATGCCCCTTATAATAACACATTTCTATCACCTATTAGTATATCACTGATAGTAAATTTTACAGAACATTAATTTTTACTCATAATTATGGTAAACAAATTAGATAAATTGAGGACCTTATTGTGAAAATTAAAATAAACTATTGTATAAGCCTGACAACAATAGTTATTATTTACAATTGTCAATTTTCAATAACAATATGATTTTATGCCAGAATGTAATTATTAATAATTATGTAACCTGAGAGTTTCATCATTAAATTGTTTAATATCATTATAAATACAATATTAGTACTATAAGTCGATGTGTATGCTCATCCATTGACATTTATGAAACTTATTTTTCCGCATTACAATAGTTTCGCTAGGAAGCATCGATTTCACCGGTTAACTACAATTGGTCCGACGTAAATGAACTTAGATAAGATCGTGTTTTTTAATATATTTAGAATCATTTAACACTATATACATAGCGTAAAAAATTATACATACATAGAATATTGAACATATTTAGGACTATATTTCATACAATTAGGATATGTACAGTACCACTGTAATCTGTACATACAATACACTTCAACTCTTTCTCTCTAAGCAAACACTTGTATCCCCACCATTTTACTGCATATCCAAACCGCAGTGAATGCTATTTTAGCGTTGAATTGTTCGCCAATGAGAGCAAAACAATTTCTGTTCCCATCTTCGACTGTTTGGCAATCTGTGGCCCAGTGTCGTGTACATTCGTGTAGGTGTTGGAGCTAGTGACATACATACTGATATATACTGTAGATACATTGAAATCGAACGAATTTCAAAACAACTACCAGGTAAGAATACATGTAGAATATATACATTTAGAGTGATACATTAACTAATTTATAGAAAGCAATTAGCTCAATTTAGCGCTAATAAACTAAAGGTTTAATAAATAGTATTACATATATTACATTTCGATTAACTCTAAACTTATTAACATAACCTATTCTTTCAGTGTTGTTGTTTACTTTTAGACATACTATGGACTTTTATATGAACTTATAATTTCATGAATTTTATTGTTTATATTTGATAAAACTGTGAATTATCTAACAGCTTATTAAATTGTTCAATAATTAAAAAAGAATGTTAAGTCTATGTTCAATTTGATTAAAATTGTCTTTTATTGGATTGTATTGAGTAGCATCCTAATACATATGTATGTATAAAGGTCCACAGTCTATTTATAAATGAACAATATAAATTTATTTTCCCATTTTGTTTTTATGTAACTACAAGAAAACATTATCATTACTTCTATATAGAATGGAAGTAATCGAACTTGTCTCGGATGAAGAAATTGCAGATGATAGTATAAAGGAAAGTAAGAGTTCTAAAAGTTATAATAGCAACTGTATAAATTTTCAATGTTCATCTGGGATAGACATGAAAACAGCTCCATCGTTTGCATGTGCTTACTATGGTGTGAACACAGAAAAGAAGAAAATACGTATGATATGTAAAAAGTGTTTTAATGCAGCACTAGATCACCAAAAGGTATGATTATATACAAATATTACTCTATATAAAAAATTATACAGTGAACAAAATATTTTACTTGATATTAATATCATTATATTGATCTTCATAGCAATTAGTTGCAGCTCTAGTCGATCATAAACCACTGCTAAAATGTGAATTTCCGGATCATACAATGGAAGTAGAAATATCTGATAGTGATGAATCAGATGATGAAAGAAGGAGAGATATAAGTGATGAAGGTGAGATGATTACGAATACTTTCATTAAGATAAATTGAATTTAAACTGAATTGATAGAAATATTGATTACTGTTGTACTCTATTGCAGATAAATATCTACCAGAGGAACTACTTGAGAGTGTTGAGGACATGTTAGAGAGTACTCTAAAAAATATTATTACAAAATATGATATTGATTATCAAATCAAGGAATCTCATGATATACTAAAAATGCAGTGGGATAAAATAGATGGTACACCATTATTTTGCAGAATTTATAGCTACATATATTCATTATACATGTATAAGATCATATGATATAATTTTTTAAAACAGAAGAGAATGACATTTTGGACAAAACAGTCAGTAATTTAATGAATACCATGGACACATTACGTAATGATTTATACAATGAATTCAGGCCACAAATTCAAATGTTACAAGAGCTTCAAATAGATGATGGAATTTCTGACAGTGCTTTGTATCCATTGGTGGCAACAAAGAAAGTTACACAAGTAAAAGTGTCAGCTGCATTATTACAAGATAATCAACCAGAGATATTACCTATTGATCAAGACAATAGACAAGTTGTAGCTTTGGATTTACCTCCCCCTGGTCCTCTTGTGAGGCCAGTACCAGAGGTGGATAGTATTGTGTATGTTATGAAGCATCCGCTTATGCCATGGAGTAGAGCAAAGGTTTGTGAATTAACTGTTTTATAAATTTTGTTGGAATAACTTCATATTGACATTCAAACGTTGTTCTATTGAAATTTATTAGGTGCAATTCGTAGTTGCAAAAAGTCCACTACACTGTCGTGTGAAATTACTGCAAAAAAAGTACAATTCGATTGTAAAATCTGTTTTTGGCAAACAAGTTGCACCTGCTGTAATTAGTCAAGTAATAATTCCAGTTGGTACTAGAGTAGTTGCAGTCTTTCGAGATGTTACATCTAGTAACTTTTACAGTGGTGTGATAGCTGAAACACCAAAAGCTACAAACAAATACAGGTATACCTGCTGACTAAATACAGGATTTTACAAATTAAATATTTTCCTAATGCAATTTTCTTTCAACGATTTAGGTATTTGATATTCTTTGATGATGGATATGCACAGTATGTTGAGCACAGGCATATTTATTTGGTTGCTGAATCTTCTCTCAAGGTATGGGAAGATATACCTCACGAATCTCGAGATTTTGTGAAGAAATACATCGAAACATATCCTGAAAGGCCAATGGTAAAATTACAAACAGGACAAGTAGTGAAAACGGAATGGAATGGCAAATGGTGGATTGCCAGGGTAGTACAAGTTGATGCAAGTTTAGTGCAAATGCATTTTGATGCTGATGGAAGAACTGAGTGGATTTACAGAGGATCTGCCAGATTAGGACCTCTGTATCTTGAACTCTTAAAGGCTAATGCTAGACAGCAAGGGCATCATGCTTCCGTTAACACACCAACTCGACATAGACTTCCTTCTATCACTAGTGTACGTTTACTAGTAGTTAAAATCACTTGTTTTCTTTTTTCCGTATACACTAATTGCTAAAGCTGAGTTTATTCATATTCCAGAAAAACAATTTACCTTATGTAGAATATACGTCTAATGTAGAACCTGAAGAAGATAGAATTACTCAAATAGAAAAAGCTCCAAGTCCTGTGGTCAGTGAAATCACAACTGTGACTACACCCACTGCTCCACAACAGGCGCGAGCTGTTGCCAGAAAGAGCACCGCTAAAAAACAAACCATTGTTGATACAAATACGTATACTCCTACTACCGAAACGAAACCCTCACATAGTATAGTTGTAAGTATATTGAACAAAGTAATATAAATAAATCAAGCAAATGACAAATAAATATCAAAAATTTATTTTGTTTCAGTATTATCAAACACAAAATAAGATTCAAACAAAGAAATTTGTTCCACATAAGTGTGGTCCACAATGTGTTCAGGGTATATCCTTTACACCTGACGATTTAAGAGGCTATTCACCTCTTTCAATACCGTTGCTCTGCGGTTGGAATCGTCAACTTTGTAAATATCCGAAAGGTAAAAAGATCACATTATATCAAGCTCCATGTGGCGTCAGATTACGGAATATGGAAGAGTTACATCAATATCTCCGCAAAACGGGTAGTCCAATGTCTGTTGATCTATTTGATTTTGACTATTGGGTACATTGTCTAGCAGAATTTGTTTTAGACAAATGTTTTATTAATATAAAAGTAAGTGCATCATTAATGAGTGTTAAGATTATTGAATTTAGGTCATTTTCTTAACACAACTAAATTGTGAATTCTATTTCTAGGATCTCAGTTATGGAGTAGAAAATGTACCAATACCATGTGTCAATGAATTAGACCACACTCAACCAGATACTATTCGTTATAGTACTCAAAGAGAACCCACAGAAGGTGTCAATCTTAACTTAGATCCAAATTTTCTATGCAGCTGTGATTGTGAAGATGATTGTCAAGTATGTTAATTATATCAAAACAGTTTTTTATTGATGTTGGTTGCATTTAATCAGTCTCTGCATTTAAATGTACGATGTTATCTTTTATTGAACAGGATAAGACAAAGTGTCAGTGCTGGCAATTAACAATACAAGGTGCAACTCTTGGAGGGAGAGTTCCAAATACATCTGTTGGTTATGTGTATAAACGTCTTCCAGAACCAGTGACTACTGGGATCTACGAGTGTAACTCAAGATGTAAATGTGCTGTAAAAACTTGTCTGAATAGGGTAGTGCAACATCCTTTAACATTGAAATTACAAGTATTCAAAACAGCTCCTCGGGGTTGGGGCATTAGATGCCTAAATGATATTCCTTTGGGATCTTTTATTTGTATTTATGCTGGAAGATTGCTTACGGAACAGGTAATTTATAATAGATATTAATTGAAATTATTAGAAATAATGTTAAGTAAAAGAAACACTTTAATGTTAGTTATATATTGTAGGGGGCCAATGAAGGCGGTAAAAATTATGGGGACGAATATTTAGCAGAATTAGATTACGTTGAAGTAGTTGAAGGAATTAAAGAAGGTTATGAAAGCGATGTTCTTGAGCCAGAGATGCCATTATCTGCTCCAGATGATAAAAAGAAGTCTATAACAAGCGACGATGAAGATTATGGAAGATCAAATACAAATGATTCGGACGAAGACTTTGACATTAGTAAATATGCGAACTTTAATGTAGATTCATCAGGTGCTTCATCAATCAGGTAAATAAAGAATAAAATTCTATAACTCGATATAATTTCTATACGAGATTTTAATAGTGTTATTGTATATCAATTTAGGAAACGACTTAGGAAACGAAAGCGAGGAGAGACCAATATTCAGGATGGATCTGAAGAGAACAGTGAAGATGGAATTAATAATAAAAATTCTGATGTTCTATCAAAATCATCAGCGAGTGAAAACCAAGAGGCGATCACAATAAGCGATGAAGAAGAGAACAGAAGTGGTAGACGTGAGCCAAGTCGATTTGATCCTACAGTTGAGCCAGCGCAATTAGAAAGGCCTAAATTTAAATCAGTGAGAGATTTCTTCGGAGAGGAAGAGGCTGTTTATATAATGGATGCTAAAACGACGGGAAATATTGGACGTTACTTAAATGTAAGTAAAATACGTGTTACCCTACAGTGACTCTTGTTTTACATTTACTACCATTATTATACTTGTACATTCGCAGTTAAGAACTTTAGGTTCAGAATGATACAAATCATTGTAGTAGGATGCATTATGCATATGCGCAATAAAAACATATTTGTTTAATGATTTCAGCATTCTTGCGATCCCAATGTCTTTGTTCAAAACGTATTTGTTGATACACACGATGTCAGATTTCCGTGGGTAGCATTTTTTGCTTTAAATTACATAAGGGCAGGTCAAGAATTAACGTGGAACTATAGCTACGACGTCGGAAGTATACCGGGTAAAGTTATCATATGTAAGTGTGGGGCATCTAATTGTAGAGGGCGACTTTTGTAATGTATGCAATATTTGATAATAGGAAGAAAAAAGTTTAAAATTTTTCATCTGGATTTATTTAAATTTTTTTCTTCGTTTTTTTCTATTATTTAAGTTATGTATTTACAGTATTCAGTTGTACAGAAGATTAAATGAACAATAAAGTTGTGAGTAGAAAATATATGCAAAGATTATGTTCTTTTTTTAGTATATTTATTATCCTTTAAAATGTAACTTAGTTTACAAAATAAAGTAGACCTGTTGTATAG